GCATCACGTTCTCTGCTGAATTGTGCATATTTTTTGTTGTCACTATATGAAGGCTTCATAAACTTTATCAGCATTAATTAGCATGTATAGATCAACATTAAAAAACTCAATTTTTTTAAAAAAAGAAACATCAAAAAATCCAAATCTACTGAAGTTAACTCAATTAATAAAAGACTTGTAATATGAAATCAAAATTAAAAAATTAAAAAAAAAAACTTAAAATTTAGATAGTAGTTAAATGAAAAAATAAAATTAGCTCCATATAAAAAAATAAAAAAAAATCACAAAGTTCAAAGTTAAATACTTCAATGTCAAATGATAAAATTAAAAAAAATATTAAAAAAAAAACTGAGTCAAGTTGGGTTACTTTGACTAACCTACAACATGCAATATGAGATTGGAATAAAAAAGATTAAAAAAAAACCAAAGTTAAGTCAATGAAAAAACTTTGAAAAAAACTCAAGTAAACTCAGGTTAACTTAACTCACTTGTGACCTGGGATAACTTCATGGAAAGAAAAGTATAAAAAAATCACAAAGTTAAAAACTTAATAATCTAATATCAAATAATAAAATTGATAAAAAAAAATTAATTAAAAAATATAATAAAACTTGAGTCAACCTAGGTTACTTAATTAACTCGCAACTTGAGATACAAGAATCAAATATGATATAAAATTACTAAAATAAAATTCTTAATCATCAAAAGTTGAAAAACAAAAAATTTACCAATCAAATAATGGGGATCAAAATTGGTATAAAAACTAAATGAGAGAAAATAACTAGGAAATAAATTGAAAAATAAAATAAATTTAAAAAATAAAAAATAGCAATTAAAAGAATAAAATTGAATAAAGAAATTAAATCAAATAAAATATGGAGGGAAAAAATTAAACAAATTAAGAAAAGAATAAAAAATAACAATCAAAAGAATGAGAATCAAATTGTATATACAAATAAAATAAAATATTTAGAGATGAAATTAAAAAAAAAACTTCAATAATCACTAAAAGAAAAATAAATAGCAATAAAAAATAAAGATAAAATTGGATACAAAAATCAAATCAAATGAAACTTTTGTGTTTTACGGGAAGAAGAAAAGAAGAAAAAAAGAGAAGAAAAAAAAAGTTAATCAGAGCCATACCGATGATCTACCATCAACATGTACCTATCCACCAACAAGACCTTGATGCACCACTCCAAATGCCATTATAAAAGGTAGTATTTGGCTATCGAAGGAGCTTGCATATGCCACCAAAATAGCGTTGGTTACTTCCTTTTTCTGGTGTGTGTATTGCAAATTAAGATTGAGATAACTTAATAAAAAAATAATTGAAACAAAATATAAAGTTTAATTCTCAATTAATCTAATCTAATGTTGAAAGATGAAATAAAAAATAAATTTAAAAAATAACACAAAAATAACTTGAATCAACAAGAAATAATATGTCAAACTCATAATCTGAGTCATAAGATTAGGATAACTTTATAAAAAATAAACTATAATAAATTATGAAGTTTAATTCTCAATTAATTTAATATAAAAATATAAAATTTTAAAAAAAATCAATTAAAAAAATTCATAATCCAAGTAATTGAGATAATTAATAATAATCTTCAATTAAAAACATAAATATAATTATTTAATTAGTTGAGTTGTCGACAGTAATAATAAGAATTGGTCAAATTTTATTTCAAATCTAATTAGAGGATGACGTAGTTAAATTTAGTTGATTAAGTTGTTCTTAATCGGATTAATTCTAAGATTTTTTTAAAAAAAATTATTCAAAAAAATTATGTTTAATCTTTTTTTAAAATAAATAATTATTTTAAATTAATTTATAAAATTCATAACCCTAGCCGAGCCTAATAATTATAGTTTTCTCATGCAAATCTAACCGGTGGATAGGTATCCACCATTCATGATCTCACACTTGCTAGTGCGGGTGCTGGACTTTTCAGTAAACATGATTGTTTCTTGTTACTAATTGAAATATTTTTAACAACTTAATGATTTAACTTCTTCTCAGTAATATGTATATAATTAGTAGTGATTTACAGTGAATTGCAAAACCAAAACCAGCACTAATGGAAAATCTCTCTGCTAAAACAAAGTTCATGCACCCAAGCAGATTTCCTCTTGCAAGTTGCAAAGAATATCTCCTCGGAGATCTTTACCAAGTTTCCAGTAGAAAAAAACACACAATTCTAAAAATAAAATGGAATTAACCAATTCGTATGCTTTGTGCTTGCAGCCTCTATTACGTGGAGAGGGGCAGTGGGAATTAAGAATATTATCCAGCTAGCCGCCGGGGAAAATATTTCGGCCACCACCATTTATGCAGCAAAGATTGGATCTTCTTATTCATGGAATCATGCTCATACACATTTTCTGTGGACTGCAGGCAGCATAGAAAAAGAGCAGATATTTGTAGCTAAGGGACATGTCGAGCTTGGAACTATGCCATGTGTATCACCAGGGAAGACTTTGCAGAAAGGAAATCATAAAAACGATTAATGGTTCATGCATGGAGAATGATCGCTAGCCAATATGTTGAATTCAAATGTTGCCTACCTTGATTCCTTCTAATAATGTTCAGATTCGACTCCCTTTGTGTAAAGAAAAAAAAATACACTAGCCTAAACAACTTTGTTTCTGGATAAATTACACGAATCACCTCGAGATTTGTTATTGTTTAAATACGTAGATTGCATTATGGATTGTTTGTTTTTAAATTATAGCTCAAGTGCTCCTCCTTTCGAGAGATTTTGAATTTGAAATCTTTACTATATATATATATATATTGATTGTAAATTAAAAGAAAATGACTCACTGCTAACAAAAACTAATTGAGAAGAAAAAATTATTGTTATTCTCAATATTAAGTATTATTCATTAGAATAATAGTGTTTTTTTTTACTTTTTTTTTAAATATTAGATTTATTAGAGGGATTAAACTTCATAATTTATTTTTTTAATTAATAAGATTATTATAATTTCATAATCCTAATCACAAGTTTTACAGATCAACCTGTTTCACTCAGGGTTTTTTAAGGTCTTTTTTTATAATTATTTTTATAATTTTATCTTTCACCATTTAAATTAATGCAATTAAACTTCATAATTTATTTTAGTTTGGTTTTCATGAGGTTATCTCAGTTTCAGAACTCAAATTTAGCATATTAAACTAGGTTAACTTAGATTTTTGTTATTGATATTTTTAATTTCATAATTTAATATTATATTAATTGGAAATTGAGTTTCATAATTTATTTTGATTTGTTTTTTATTGGGATATCTTAGTTTTATGATCCATGTTTGGCAAGTTAATCTAAGTTAATTGAATTTTTTTTATTCTTTTAAAATTTATTATTTTTAATTTAATTCGTCAATATTGTATTAATTGAGAATTGAGTTTCAATATATTTTTTGAACTGTATTCTACGAGGTTATTATATTCTTATAACCTGAATTATGAATTTTACATGTTAATCTAAATTGATCCGAATCAATCTAATATATTGTTGTTTTAATATTAAAAAATAATATAATATTATTTTAATTTTTTTGTTAATTAAACTATTTTTTCGGTTGTTTAAATTGTTTTTAACTTCTCAAGTTAAATATGCGACATCAAATTAATCTCCCTGCACGTTTGAATTTTATTTTTCCTCCTTAAAAACACGTTAGCAATTATGACAAGATATTTCTTTTAACTTTTTTTTTTTTTGGGAAATAATACAACTCATAACGCGTTTTTGTTTGTCGTTTGGTTTGGTTGCGGCGGACGACATTGTGGTCTACGAAACCAACCTTGGATTTATCTTTCAAAGAAATCATCATGGATCTACATCATGTCAGATAATTATCCCTGCTGAGGGGCCTAAAAACAAGCATCATTCGTTGATGATCGGAATGGTGAAGAAAGCAGAGGGTGGCAGCACCAGGCTGTGCTGCACTCGAAAGTTTCTCATTTGCCATAATAAGAGGAGATAACAAACAATAAAAGGCAAAATGAAAGAGGGCATAGAGCTAAGGCATGAGAAATATTATTTGCCTTTGAATGAGTGTTTATTAAAAAATAGGAAACGCAGCTTTATACAAGAGATTGATCTCCTACAGCCATGCTAATCTATTCCAGGAAGCCTAAGTGTAAAATGCAACCAAGCAAAAATACAGTTAATTCAGTATATTGGTCAATGCTTGACCGAATGAAGTGCCATATATTATTGTTATTCTTAACATTTTTTAAGTATTTTTTTGATATTTTTAAACATCATACACCATAGTACCAACACACAAAACAACCCATTCTCCTTCCTGTTTTTGAGTAAAATATTTTACCAAAAGAAGTGTCATGATCTAGCTAGGCATGAACTAAAAAAGAGTCAAAGGAAAGAAAAAAAATTACAAAGAATGGCAAAAACCAAGATTAGTTCTTGGCCAGAGCCTAAAGACAAGAAAAGTTCCCTCAAAATGAGTAAAAGGGCTAATAAATCTCACTAACAAGTGCTTAATGAGTGGTGTTTGCCTGTCTAATGTTCGTCACAGGAGCACACATTATCGTTCAAAGCACAGCTCCTGGCTCCGTAGTGGAGTAGTAGGTTGATTAATGTTGCCACGTCTGAGATTCCCACAAAACCAAGTTTCCTCGTACGTGTCTGTTCAAAGCCCAGTTGATTTGGTGATGTTAAATCCGTAAATACCGACCAGATACGGGGAAGTAAGAACTAGATTTGCTCTAGAAGCTCCGGTTATTATTTAATTTATGCTGTTGATATTGCCACCGAGCTGCTTGTTCATCGCTTGCTTTTGAAGTTAATTTTAAACCAGAGAGAGTGAGAGAAATTATGTAATATTATTAGCCTTGAATTTTTGTTCTTAAAAAAAAAAAAAAAACACGTGATGTGAACAAAAGGCAATGTTTAAGGCTAAATGAAGTTATAAAGAAAAGGTGCAATTTAATAGCGAATCCTACTTTAATGTTGTGTTCTTTCAACTACGCTGATGATTTGATAAATGAATATAGAGTTTATTGCCAAAAACTATAGTTGTATAATCGCATGAATAGTCTCAACTTCTTAAAATATTTTATTGAAATTCATCTATTATACAATACAAGATTGCGTTTTTTTCACTTTTTTATTTTATTTTTAGTTTAGATTTTTGTTATATAAATATTAAAAAAATAATTTTAAAATAATTTTAAAATTAAATAATGTTTTTTATTAGTTATATGAATTATTTTTTAATCCACTAAATTGATCGTGTCATGTTATATTCAATAAGAAATTAAATCAAGAGAGTTAAGGTTGATTCTTTAAATTAAATTTAATAATAATATTAAATAATATATTTTTAAATAATTTTTTATATTAAAAAATCTTTATCTGACCTCACAATGTAATGCCAGCTAATTAGTAACTTTATAAGAAATCATATATATATATGTATGGAATATGGTTGAAATTTTTCTAGAAATAATATGGAGAATAATCTTTAGATAATATTAATAATGATATTTAATTATAATTATATAAAAAAAAACTAGATGAACTCTAACTGATTATTTTTTATCAAAATAATATCATTTTATTATTATTTTTAAATAAATTTTAATGTTAATTCAACTAGATTTGTTCAGGTGAATCACGTAATTAAACAAATCTAAATCCATGTTATTTTTCTTTATTGTTTTTAAAAAAGAAATTTTGGTGTTAATTTAACTAGATTTGATCAAGTAAATCTAACCCCGTAATTAGACAAGCCTAAATATATGTTATTTTTATTCAAATTAAAATATATCTAACTCCAAGTCATAAAATTCTTGAAAGTACTGATTTTAATAACAATGATTCTAATTACATATCTAACACTTATCTATTATCGCTAGCTATTAACAACTCGTTAAAATGACCATTTGTGAACAAAGCAACCCATATATTGATAACCTACCACTGTAACAAGCACACACACTGAACAAATTCAAATATGTAGCTCAACTAATTAAAAAGGTGTTGATAATTTAATAAAGAAATAAATGGGCAAAAAAATATACATGTTAGGGCAGCTGCTCCAAGAAGAGCTTAGTAAGTTTAGCATTAGAGCTCTTAAGCCAAGAAGATCAGGAAAAAAAAATAGTTTAAGGAGGTGGCAGAGAAAGGGAGACACAGGAACAGCTCCCACGTTCTCCTCATACCTGACTTCTTTTCTTTAAGAATTCTCTCTCTCTCTCTCTCTCTCTCTCACACACACACACACACACACACACACACCCGCTCACGCTCACATTCACACTTAGAGCATCTCCAATCCAAAATGCTATTTTGAAAAGCTAAATTGATAAAATAGCATTTTGAATAGTATAAATATAGCTTATCTTACCATATCTATTCCAATGGAAAAAAGCCATTTGAAGAGCCATTTATATTGGAGTGAAAAAAATAAGTGTTTTATTATTTCTTAATATTGTTTAATGTTATTTTTTTTTCCACATGTCTACATTTAATTGGTCTATTTTTTTAGTGGTCCCACTTTGTTGGTTTTGGCTCTTTAAAGAGATATGTAGAAATAGCATTTGTGGGAGAGAAAAGGCATTTTAGCATTTTGTTTGGCTTCTCCATTGGAGTATGCAAAACAAAAGCCAAAATATTAATTTTTTATTTTTGGCTATTCATTTGGCTTCTCCATTGGAGATGTAGAAGCCGTCCCTGTTGACAAAATGTTGCCTATTTCTCAAGGGAATAAATATATACCCGTTCATCTCTTGTGAACCTCCATAAATACTCTTATCTCCATACCCTAATCTCTCTCTCCTCTCTTTCTTGTTACACCACTATCTTGATAACAGTTCAGGAGGGCTCATCATCTCTCTCTTTTTTTCTGTGATCATGGTGAGTGTCACTAGCTCGCCCTTCCCTCGCTGATCGCCATCTATTGCAAAATTCTGTTTGAGTTTTGATTTACGTGTTGAATTTTTGAGTGTCTCTTTTGCTTAATTCTGGTTGGTATTTGTGATCATGGTGTTTTTCAGGGAATTCAAAAGCCTGCATGGTTGGGAGCTCTTTACACGCAGAAGTTTTTTGCGGGGTGCTCTTATCATGAAGCTGCAAAGAAGAATGAAAAGAACGTATGTTGTTTGGATTGTTGCATCAGTATTTGCCCTCATTGTATACCATCCCATCGCTTCCATAGGCTTCTTCAAGTTCGTCGTTATGTTTATCATGATGTTGTCCGACTGGAAGACCTTGAAAAGCTGATTGATTGCTCAAATGTTCAGGTTAGTGGCTTAAACAATCTTAATCTTCTTGCTTCATATGTTGCTCTAGCAAGATTCAGTCTGTAGTTTGCTAATTAACTTAGCTTTGATTATAGGCCTATACCATCAACAGTGCGAAAGTGGTGTTTATCAAGAAGAGAGCTCAGAACAGGCAATTCAAAGGGGCCGGAAACTATTGTACTTCCTGTGATAGAAGCCTTCAAGAACCTTTTATCCATTGCTCTCTTGGCTGCAAGGTACAGAGCAATTTTCATGCTAAATTCCAACTAGGGTGACTAAAAGTTTTTTCCGCATGCAATTACGACCCTTTTAGTCAAAGAGCATATCACGATAAAGTTGCGCTCAATTATGATCAAATCTCCATGGACCGCCTTCAAAAAGAGGAAGAAGTTGTTGCAAACATTTTCTCTTTTTATTTCAATCGTACTTGATATCAATTTACATGTTAACTAAACTAATTAAGTGCATATATTTAGAAAAATAAATTCATCTGTAGAAAAAAGAAAAAGAAAGCAAATATCATTAACGACCAGACCACTCCTTAGGAGTTAACTAGCCATTGCATACACCATCAATACAAGTGAATTTTACTTGAAGCATGCATAATTAAGAAAATCAAGAATTATGTATTGAATAAGCCAGATTATTTCTAGGAGGGGTGTCCTAATCATGGCCATTCATTATTAAGATCCTATGATCATATTTAACAGAAAGATTTCCTTCAATGTTTTCTGCAGGTGGACTTTGTGCTGAAACATTACAAGGACCTTTCTCCATACCTGAGGAGATGCAACGCATTAACTCTTGGTCCTGACTTCTTTATCCCCCAAGATATGGCAGATGATGAGATGACCAATGAGACGCCTCGCTCGACAATTGTGGACTCCGATGAGCCGATGACCTGGTCTTCAAGTTCATCGGGTTCCGAGAACATGAGCATCGCTAGCACTGAGATTGTACGGAAGAAGAGGAGTGGATTATACGTATGTGCAAGATCACTGAGTAAGGTTTCTGAGGAGGACATGGCTTCGAGCATGAGTAGAAGAAAAGGCATTCCTCATCGATCTCCTCTATGTTAGGAAAACAAATTAAACCGAAAAAACTTTTATTTATTACTATAATTATTAATTAGCTTTACTTGGATATTTTGACCGACCTTCAAATTCAAAGTGTTCTCTCTCACAGTCACATCATCTCTCATCACTCTTCAACTTGAGTTAATTAATAACTTGGTCGGGGGGTTTTGTCTTAATGGCATCACGTGATTCCCAATTCCAAGTTATGGTTTTGTACATTTTTCTATGCTCATATTAATAATTCAAGCCATCAATCCGAGGACTTTATTGTTCAAAACTTGTACACCTCTGGGAATTATACAGTACGTTTATGTATTTGTTAATTTCCTTTGCATTGGGAGACACGACACGACACTTGCTTTTACCAGTAATTCGAGATTCTATTTACGAATATGGTAAGAATAGGGTTAGGGTTTATGTTTTAAAATATTTTTTAAGATTTATTTTAGATATTAATATATCAAAAATATTTAAAAAAATAATAAAACTATGATTCTACCATGATATTAAATATACTTTAAAAAATTGTTTGAAAGCGTGATGTAAATAGTTTTTTTATCTTTTTTTTTGTTTTTTTTATTTAATATTAAAAATAATTTTTAAAAAATAAAAAATATTATTTAATATATTTTCAAATAAAAAATACTTAAAAAACCACCATAGCTACACTTAATACACCTCTAAAAGAAAATAAAAGTAGCTATATTTCGGAAGCAAAAATTACTCGAACTCCAACAAAGACAGATTGGTATTTTTTACAACAAAAGGAGAAGAGTGGGTTTCGATTATGCAAATTAACGTAATTTCTTCATGGCTGTAGGCAATTGAGAATTGTAGACATTTCTCATCTCACTATTTTATCTTCTTCATTTTTATTTTTTGTATTTTGATACTCTTAATGCATGGCTAGAGTACTCAAAACCATGTTATGATGAAATATGAAGCTTAGAAGTATGAATATAGTTTACTTGGTCTTGAAGTCATTCCTGTCATTTAAAATGGAAGAATAAATCCCCAATTAATAAGATTAAAAACCATAAAAAAAAAAAAAAAACATAAGATTTTTAGTACCATCTCATGATGGAGCAGGGATTCGTTTGACTATTATATGTCTACATCTACAGTGTACTGTCTCTTCTCGGAGAGAGTGCTGGGGTTTGAGATTTAACCACTATTTTTGACCGGTCAAATTCTACCCCGATTGACAATTTAAATCAGATAAATAATCGCTATAAAATCAAGGGGCAATTTAAAATTGTGTTGCAAACACGAAGTTTTTAAAAAGTTTGATTTTAAAAATAAATTAATTTTATTATGTTTTTTTATTGTTTAAATATACTAATATTATAAACATTTTTAAAAAAATTAATAAAAAAATATTTTTTAATACATTTCTAAAAACAAAAAAAAACCATTAACACAATCTTAAACAACCCTTATAAATTCATGATACTTCGTGGGGAATAAAAAATTAATTCAGTGAGAATTATAGTTGCATGTAGCCAGGCGCCAGCTCAATCTGACCATGATATCCAGCTTCTTCTTTTTCCTTTTTAGACAAGTGGTGTTACAGTAAAAAAAAAAAATCCTATTTGAATGCACTGTGTTCTATAAAAATATATATTTTTTAAAATATATTAAAATAATTTTTTCATATCACTATATCAAAATCATAAAAAATAACAAAAAAATTAATATAATATTTTTTCAAGCCATATATATATTTAAAACATAATTTAAAATCCAAAATACAAATTTAATTGTATAATGTCTTAACAAATTTGGAACCTTAAGAAGTTTCAAATCAAACCATCGGGATACCTTGGAGCAGGTTAATTCACCGTTGTTTGTTTGTAAAATTTTGTTAGATAGATTATCCGAATGACGGCACCACAAGCATTAGCAGTAACTTAGATGAGGATTCTAGAGGAGGTGTTCTAGGTAACTGAGTAGGCCCATAATTTGTGGTGGCCTACAGTTGAAATTAGGCCGAGAAATACTGGGCCCAAGATTTGGGTATTTAATGGGCTCTAGAGCACGGGCTTTTGTTGCCGAAAACATGTAAATTAAGCTAAAAAGGGAAGTGCTATTCGGCGTATTCGCTAGTTGTCTGAGATGGCATGAGGTAGTTCTTGAAATAAAATATTTCGTGTAGGTGGCCCAATTTGTATTTCAGGCTAGCCCAGTAACATGACTTCTAAAACTAAGCCCACAAAAAAATCATCATTAAAAAAAAAAAAAAACTGATAGAATTAGAGGAGGGAAGAATATAGCAGACAAAGGAAAACCTGAATTTAGATCTTTCTTAGTTGAAATGTCTTGACAATGTCTAAGCCCACTAAACTATGGCAAATAAATAAAATTTCTAAAATCTTTTACCATAAAATTATTTTTATATTTGTTAATGTAATGCATGGTGTTTTTTAATTAAAATGTATTGACATATTTTTTTTAGACTTTATTTTTTATATTAATTAAAAAACACATAAAAACATTAATTTAATATTTTTTTAAAGCAAAAAATAATTTAAAAAAACAAGTTGGATCAAATTAGTGCGCTAAAAGACTTTAATGTCACATTTTGTACTTATGGTATGATTTGTTTATGGTTTTGTTTTTATACAATTTTTATGAATATCTTTCCATTATATGTTTTATTAAGATTTCTGCCCTTTCATCTAATTTTGGATGACATATGTCCAAAATCTATGCAGTGACTTAAAAGATTATTTAAAAAAAAAAAGATATATAAAAAAAAATGAACAAAGAATCCAATCTAATAAAATAATTTATCATCATAAAACTGAAAGTGGGTATTTAGTTACAAATATTCCCCATTATCAAATACTTGATATTAATGTAGGAAATGCCACTACAAAAAAAAAAAGCATCTAATAAAATATTTATTACCATTAAATTACAAATGCAAAATTTAACCTTTTAAGATTAATTATTAGGTGTTTGAGATTATTTGACTTTGCTAAAAAAAATATGAGCAAAATACGAGTTTATTTTGTATAAAGACAAATACGAGTTTAATTAGGAATTTGGATAAGGGCAAGATCCAGAAAACTACAAAGAAAAAACATGTCATTAACCCTTGTACATAGAGCTTGTTCTAAGTGTAGTTTAAGCAAGTGGATGCCTCAGCCTTTTCTTTTTAATCCCTAATGTTCAATGTTCATCTTAAATCATGGCTTAGACATTTGGGTTCGCCTTTATTTGTTATCCTTGTGCCTAGTTTTTTTTGGTTCATCAGAAATTCTCTTGGCTGATGTGTTGTATTTTCAAGGATTTTGGTTCTTCATTGGTGAAGGTATAAAAATCTGTTCGTTCCCACCTTTTAATGATAATATAAGGTGTGTTTGAAATAATAATAAATGTTGTCTTTAAAAAAAAAATTGTTTAGAATTGTATTATAATAATTTTTAATTTTTTAAAAATATATATTTTTAATATCAACCTATCAAAACGATTTTAAAACTCTAAAAAAATTGATTTAAAATTAAAAAAATTAATTTTAAAAAAAAGTTGTCCAACAATAGAAATTTTGAGCAAAATTGCTGTTGTTGGTTTGTAAAATTTTGTGAGATAGATTGTCCGAATGACGGCACCACAAACAGTAACTTAGATGAGGATTCTAGAGGAGGTGTTCTAGGTAACTGAGTAGGCCCATAATTTGTGGTGGCCTACAGTTGAAATTAGGCCGAGAAATACTGGGCCCAAGATTTGGGTATTTAATGGGCTCTAGAGCACGGGCTTTTGTTGCCGAAAACATGTAAATTAAGCTAAAAAGGGAAGTGCTATTCGGCGTATTCGCTAGTTGTCTGAGATGGCATGAGGTAGTTCTTGAAATAAAATATTTCGTGTAGGTGGCCCAATTTGTATTTCAGGCTAGCCCAGTAACATGACTTCTAAAACTAAGCCCACAAAAAAATCATCATTAAAAAAAAAAAAAAACTGATAGAATTAGAGGAGGGAAGAATATAGCAGACAAAGGAAAACCTGAATTTAGATCTTTCTTAGTTGAAATGTCTTGACAATGTCTAAGCCCACTAAACTATGGCAAATAAATAAAATTTCTAAAATCTTTTACCATAAAATTATTTTTATATTTGTTAATGTAATGCATGGTGTTTTTTAATTAAAATGTATTGACATATTTTTTTTAGATTTTATTTTTTATATCAGTAAAAAAAAAACATAAAAACATCAATTTAATATCATATTAAAAGACTTTAATGTCACAGTTTGTACTTATAGTATTATTTGTTTATGGATTTTGTTTTTATACAATTTTTATGAATATCTTTCTATTATATGTTTTATTAAGATTTCTGCCCTTCCATCTAATTTTGGATGACATATGTCCAAAATCTATGCAGTGACTTAAAAGATTATTTAAAAAAAAAAAGATATATAAAAAAAAATGAACAAAGAATCCAATCTAATAAAATAATTTATCATCATAAAACTGAAAGTGGGTATTTAGTTACAAATATTCCCCATTATCAAATACTTGATATTAATGTAGGAAATGCCACTACAAAAAAAAAAAAGCATCTAATAAAATATTTATTACCATTAAATTACAAATGCAAAATTTAACCTTTTAAGATTAATTATTACGTGTTTGAGATTATTTGACTTTGCTAAAAAAAATATGAGCAAAATACGAGTTTATTTTGTATAAAGACAAATACGAGTTTAATTAGGAATTTGGATAAGGGCAAGATCCAGAAAACTACAAAGAAAAAACATGTCATTAACCCTTGTACATAGAGCTTGTTCTAAGTGTAGTTTAAGCAAGTGGATGCCTCAGCCTTTTCTTTTTAATCCCTAATGTTCAATGTTCATCTTCAAATCATGGCTTGGACATTTGGGTTCGCCTTTATTCGTTATCCTCATGCCTAGTTTTTTTTTTGGTTCATCAGAAATTCTCTTGGCTTATGTGTTGTATTTTCAAGGATTTTGTTTCTTCATTGGTGAAGGTATAAAAATCTGTTCGTTCCCGCTTTTTAATGATAATTAAGGTGTGTTTGAATTAATAGTAAATGGTATTTAAAAAAAATAATTGTTTAGAATTATATTACAATAATATTTTTTTATTCATTAAAAATATATTTTTAATATATATTCAAAAACTTTTAAAAAGTTGATTGAAATTTTTTAAAAAAATCAATTTAAAAAACAAAGTTCTCC